CTCAGGAGTCCTGGACATTCATTCTTTCATTTTATTTTCCTTTGGTGACTTTTTGTTTTCTTTTCTTTTTTTTTTGCAAGTAATGGGGGTAGCCCACATGTCAGAAATGATTTTGTCAATATGGGTTTTTATTCTGACGATTTTAGACACAACATTTATGTCTCATGGCTGTTCAAGCAAAGAACAGAGAGATTTTCTGAGGAAAAACATCAGATAGCAGAATGTATAATTATGTTTTCCCTTCGAGCTTTCTGTTGTATTATATATGATGGCCAGATTAGTCCTGAAGTCAATGAATTCCCGTGTAGGTGTGTGATGGTAAACCTGAATATGAGATGAAGGACACCAAGAGGATTCTAAAAATAGAGCAAATTTTATTGTTTTTCATGTGGCTAATCTATTAAAGACCTTCACTCTGTGCAGGGATGTAAATGTGGAATTATGGCAACATAGATAAAGTTCGTGTTAGCATTGCTGTGTTTTATCCAACATCAAATACCAAATCTGGTTGGTTTGTTCAGACTGCATTAACAACATAAAAAGCAAATGAACAAGGCCAACAAAATAACAGTAAAAAAAAAAAAGCACCTTCTGTATTAGCTTTTAAATTAGGCATTAAGAAAGAAATAATTTACTACAAATTTTTAATAGTATTGACACATCAGTGATAACTGATGATAGACTTAGATTTTGATGTAGATGGAGCCTGTCCTTGGGTGAGACAGCACACTTTCCTAGCAGAAGGTTATTTTGAAGAATGTGGTTTTTCAAATACCCTACTGGTTTAAAAATTACTTGACATCTGTTAGCTAAAGGATTGGATGTGCTTTCAGATGAATTTATGTTTGTTTTTAACAAAAGTCTCTGAAATATTCGAAAAAAGAAGTAAATATTGTTGATAAACTATAGCGAGTTTGTGCATTTCCTGACATTGTAAGTGCTTGTCAGAAACACAGGGTTGGCTATTTTGTAAGACCAAGGTAGAGGGAAATAAAATGAGAACATCCTAAATAATGCATTAGAATAATGAAGTCTACTTGTACTAGCAAAATTACAGTAGATGTAAATGCATGGTTTTCACCTCACCTTCTAGTGCTAAAGAGAATGGTACATTTAGAAATTCTTTCTTCCCAAAAGACAACAAACTCAAAAAAGCAAATGAACATATCCTGTTAATTGTTCTCAGTAGTTTTCTGGGGTGAGAAACAACCTATAATACTGTTATTAAATTAGTAAGGCATGGAATAATTAATGAAAGTAATTTTTATAGCTGGAAGGGCAAGACAAGGTTAACTCACAGGTAATACAGAACAGAAAACGTTTCTTATCTGCAATCTGATTCTTTATGATTATTTCTCAATATCCAAGTAAAACTTTGGGCATTCTCCCCAGCTCTGAAAAAAACTTGTTTTATTAAAATGTAACTCTAATATTGTACTTAATGGTTTTGATGTAAGCTTAAAAAGTGTCATAAGGACAATTCTTACAGATCCTCTTCCTTACTTCTTTTGTCAAATCACTACTCCCACATAAGTAATTTGAAAGAAGAGTATTTCTGTTCATGATAGAATTTGACAAAAGTGGTAAGGAAGATGATTTAAAGCTGTTTCTATGAAAGAAGGAAAGAAAGAAAAACCAAAAAACCCCAAACAAACAACAAAGCCCCAACTAACTCCTCTGTTTCTGGTATGAATTGGAGGATTCCCAAGGCTGGTCTGGATTTTTATGGTTTATGACATTTCCTGTTTGTTCATATACCGCAGGCAAGTTGTGTGTCCTTGCTGGAGTTTTTTCTCCACAGAATGGTACAATTTTTGTGGAACTGTGCTGGATAGTGAATTTATCTTATTCCGTGGAAGTCTTTCAAGGCAGTCTTTTCACACACTTCTCAGATGTGTTCTGACCAAACTGAGCCAGGACAGACTCTGACCTGCTTGTACCCAAACTGCAGTGTTCTGAAGGAGTATTGCCAAACCAAAAATTACAGAAACAACTAGATGTTCCTTCATTTTGCTGTGAGAACTAAAAAACAGAAAAAAAAAAATTACACTTTTAGGATGATTTGTTTATTTGGTTCTCTTTAATAAAAGGAAGTGCTACTAGGTTTATATATCCCTCTAACTTACAGTTTTGCTTCTTAGTTTGGGGATGGAAAAGCTTAAATCCAGAAGCATCACTTTGAAGAAACGGGGAAACAAACAGATTTTTGTAGTCATGTTTGTTTCCCTTTTTCTTTTTTTTTTTTTATTCATGGTTTTCTGATGTCAGAGAGAGAAACAAGTCAACAAGAAAAATAAGAAATCGAAGATCCACTTGTATTTGTTAATATATGAGGGAAAGCAATTGGATCTCCCCTTCCCATTAAGTTCTTAGAGCACTGAATGTTTGAAGTGGTGGGAAGGATTTATGTAGGCTAAACAGAGATGCACTCTGTGTAAATTCTTAAAAGCTTTCTTAGTTCTCGGTAAAAGTTAGCCATTCCATTTTCAGCTGGTTTTGTAAACCTCAAAACCAAAGGAAAGAATGTTTAATCCAAAGATCAGAACTTTTCTAGAAGAATAAAAATTATGTCAAAACACATTGTGGGGTAAAAGCTATGAAATGCAAGGATCAGATGTTTTTGTCTGTTTCTAGTCTAGAAGCTGATTATTAAAACAGCTAATATTTTTAAATTATTTCTGACTGAGTGTTTGTAAAACTGTGTGCCTGCTTTTGATATTTATGCAGCCATCTAAGGTACCAATTCCAGTCCATTTGGAATCAGTAACAAAACTCCCATTTAAATTTCTGGCTCCCTGTGTAGTTTCAAACACAGCTGAAGAGACAATGACTCAGAAAACTGTGGAGCTTTTGTTATTAGAAAAGGAACTGTTCCTTTGACATTTCACAGTGACAAACTAACTGCAGCAAAAAGAATAATGTGAGTACGCTTCAGGCTTCAAACCATCTTTATATATTTTATTTCTAAACTAACTAAAAACTGCTTCTCGGGTGAAATACTGATAATGTCTTTGTTATCTGCAGAACTGAGATCTTTATCAAACAGCTGATATCTTGTTTGTTTGGATTAGGATCATGGAAAATTTAGATATGAAGGGACTTCTGGGTGTCATTTAGCTTGCTTGAAGTAGATGTCATTACATCAGTTAGGTTGTTACATCAGTAGGTGGCCGAGGCACGGATCTGATGAAGTTCTGAGTATCTCCAGCAGTGGAGATTGCACAAACTCTCTAGGCAGCTCATTCCAGCATTTGATCACTTTGACCATCCTCATGGTGAGAGAGATTTTGTCCAAAAAGTCTTTAAAGTAGGCTTTGGCTTTCAGGGTTAAGGCTGGAAGAACAAAGATAGCGTGCTACTCTCCCAGGCAGGCCACGGGGCTCTTATTCTTTCCAGCAGTTGTCCTGATAGTGTTGCTTGGTTTAACTTTTTCCCCCTTATTTCTTGTTAGAAACCCTGAAAACAGTTTCTCAGAAAATTTTCATTCTGCTTCTCTTGGTCAGTCCCTTCTGCCACCATTTAGGTGATACCATGCCAGTTCCTATATTAATAAGAGACATCTAACTAACTCTCAGTTTCATTCACTTCCTGTTATTTGCTACAGGCTCATATTTTTCCCTAGCAATTTCCTTTTACCAAATACTGGCAGATCATGCTTTTGCTTTTAGTAAAAGTTTCATGCTGTTTTTTTCACAGCCTTGCTTGGTTGCCTGGTATTGCTGTTTACCACACCTTCCTTTAAGAGATGCCAGCCCTGTTAAGGACGACAGCAGGCTGTAGTTTTTGCACCCTTGGCAGTTTGATCCATCTTTAAGAGGTTTACAAAACCCAGTTATTCTGGTGGGGGAAAAGAAGGATTCCTTCCTCTCCTACTCCGACCTTGCATCTTGGCAAAGCAAGCACAGTAAAATTGCATCTCATTTTTGATAATTTTATGGGTGGGATGTTGTCAAAGAAAGGTTACGTGACTGTAACAACATGTCAAGCATGCACAGTCTTACTTTTCTTCTCGCTTGAGCTGTCATGAGTGAGGAATAATTCTAGAGAGATTAAGATAATTATTGACTAAAATTGAAGAAAGACGAGAAACTGGCCCCTGCTATTTAGAGCTTTAAATAAAGTGATGGTACACAATGTTCCTAGAAGAATGTGCACTATTAGTGGTAAACAAAGAAGAGTGCCTGTTCTCAAAGCATGTTGTCAGGAAACTCTCTGTCCATAAAATGTCTTTGAATTGAACTAACATCTGTTTTCATATAGGAAGAAGATAAAGTTTATGTGTGAATTAATTTTTATAGTTAAAAATGGTCAAAAAGCTAGTTAAAGTTTATTTAGGACTGCATATATCCACCCCTCCTCAACTGAGGAACTGAGGCACTGAGGCTTATCAATTTACAATTTTTCTCAACTCTAAACCTTAATAAAACATTCTAGATTTAATTAAAGTGGTCTGTCTTCTGGAACCTTTGAATTGCTTTTAAAAACTTTACCTTATGCTAGCTGTCCTTCTAAATTCTGTTTTACACGATGTTTGCACTGAATTGCTGTCATATATCAGAAGTACTTATGTCTTTAGAATGCCATGTAATTTCCTACGAACAGCTGCTTAATTTAGCTGTGCTGTTTTTCTGAAATTGGATATAATTTCAGTATTATAATATAAGATTTGATTGAAATATCAAATATTGAGTTGACCATCATGCATTTCAAGAGCAGAGGTTCTCATCATAAGACTATGATCACTTCTCCAAAGTGAATGTAAATACATTTCAAGTTTCTGTAAAATGTGACTAAATTCACATTTATGCAAGTTGAGATAAAAATGTTTTATCTCTAGTCCTGCATTTTATATATGAATTGTCAATACAGGTCATAGTAGTAGTTTAGTTCTCTCCTTTCTCCTTTTGCTGTTTTATCGTGCATTTTCTTTTTGCTTAAAGGAATAACTATATTTTAAACCTTTTTTTGTTTGTTTGTTTGGTTTTTTTCCCTCTTTATAGAGCCAGCATTGTGCAGAAGCGCATAATTTATTTTCAAGATGAGGGTTCTCTCACCAAAAAAATTTGTGAACAAGGTAAGGTAAAGTAAAATGTCTCTTAATTCTTTGTATCAAACTAAAAATTTGAGACCTTGAATAGTTTCCTCCAGGTTCAAATTTCTTCCTTATCACATATACTATTCCTCATACAGTCGTCTTTGTTTCCCTCCAAATGTAACGCTTGCACCTTTTTCCCTGCTCTTTTATGATACCCATTTGATTCCAGGGCACTTTTAGCTTGTTGAATCCTGGCCCATTTCATCCTTTCCTGAACCTGAATGTTGCAGCTGGTGATTGCATCCTGCTGGAAAAGTTATATGCTTTGACTGCCCAGAAATTTCAAAGGTTTTTGTGTTTTGAGGTCAGCCGAGGTTTTGTCCTTATCAGGTAACAATTAGAAACAATCCCCTTTTAAATCTGGAGACGACTGACAGGGCACCTCATTTAAAATTTAGTTTTCAACCATTATATCCACTAATAAATGCGGTCTAGGTATTTCAGGGTTCTAGTTTAGTGTAATGTTTTTTTAAACAAACAAGTGCTTAACTCAGATTTATTTTTTGGAGTGTCTATTATGGCAGCTTTGCTGTCCTGTGTTTGCTTTGAGTTGTGACCATTTTCAGTGGGTACTTTACTGCTTTTTCAGACTCGGCCTCAGAAGGTGTGACTGACAAACCGATTTTAGATTGTTGTGCCTGTGGAACTGCCAAATACCGGCTAACTTTTTATGGGAACTGGTCAGAGAAAACACATCCCAAAGATTTCCCACGTGAGTACCATGATTTTTGCTTGCACCACGTAGGGATTGTGAAGAGGGTTGGAGCTTGCTGTGTGGCACACCACTACTTATTTACATCTCTGCAGGGAAAATCCTGACATGTATGGGATCCTGCTTACCTTCAGTATTGAAAATCAATGGATCTTTCTGTGCTATACATTACAAGTAAAGCCTATTGATTTGCCTGACATTTCGAGCTGAGGTGTTTATGAGATCATATTTTTAAAATACCTTTGTGGTGAGAAAGGTTTCTTTCTTTTTTTGTTGTGTGTTTGTTTGTTTGTTTGTTTATTTGTTTTTCTTATTGTAAGCTTAGGCTGGCTTACAATGTACGGCTGGGAAATGAGATTTTAAGAGAAAAGTCACGAAGGATGGGCAACATAGTAACATGTTGATTTTTCCAACATGCCTATCTAGCCTTTTTGTTTTACTGTAAAGTGTTTTGAATGATTTCAGTTACTTTTGGTGAATTTTGAGTCTTGCTGCCCAAGGACATCTTCTTTGTCTTTGTTGGTTGAATACAGAGATAAAAAAACCACCTTCTGAACTTTTTCTGTTTGAGTTTTTAAATTTTTAAACTGCAGAATAAATATTTTTGTTGCAAGTTTACTTTTTACAGTTGCTCAAGTAACTGTAAAGAGCTGAAGTTGCAAAAATGCGTGTTGTGCATTTGGTTTTTCATTACTGACTCCACAGTCTGTGGCAAAAAAATTGTCTAGGAAACTATTTGGGAACATGAGTCACATTCTTGGGTCTTTAAACTTCGTTATGTTGTCTGTGGCTGACGTTTATTACATAGAGCTTTTATGTGGATTTTTAAAAATTGTTATTATTGTCACAGCATCAGAAGATCTTTGTGAACCCCGGTGAGGTTTGTACCAGCTCACAGTTTCACCAGCCTAAGCAATATTGCTTATGCTGAGTCTCTTACTTCTGAAGTTGCACATTGTTCAGATACTGCTGGTCAGCATAAACACATGGGAGATAAAACAAGCAAAGCCAATAATTGCCAGAATGCTCTTTCAGGCCGCTGGGTGATTTATATGTTTGCTGAGTGTGACACTTCGTGTGCACTGTTGGTATGGATTCAGCTGGTGGTTGGAAACAGGGATGAGAAAATGACCAAAAACTATGAAATTACTGTGGCTTAGTGATGTAATACTGGGGATAAATGGCCTTTTCTTTTGCATCCAACTCAGTGAACTCATAAAGAGTAGGGGTGCATGATAGAAAATAAACAAGTTTCAATAGCTCTGTAGCCTGCTTTCCCCAGTTACAGAGTGCTGAATTAAATTAATATTTTACTTAAACCGAAAAAGTTGGTACTTACACAATTAATCCTGGTTACAGCAGCTGATAAAATTTTACATTGAAATTTCGGAAAGTTGTCTCAAAGTTATTTCTCTTATCTGAAAAGGTCTCATCCTGATATAGTAGTATTGAAAATGAAAACTAGCCATTGGTATCATTCTTTAAAATTGGACTTGTGCAGTAATTACATTAAATAAAATATTTTTCATTATGGACTGTGGTAAATTACTAAATATTTGCTGAGCCATCACAGAAAATTATGCAGATCATAAAACTTATATTCTGCATCTTTTCCTTAACTCATCCTCTGATATTTGCTCTAAAAATCCCTAAAGAATATATACTTTGTTGCTTAGCTTTTCTCCAAAGAACTCCAAATGCTATTACACAGAGATATTTCTAGAACATACAGGGCAAAACTTTTAATTTTGGGAAGTTGTTTTGAGGTTTTTGCAGGTACCGTGGCTTAGGAATAATTTGACATTTATTATACCATGTAATTAACACACCTCTGTTCCATTAAATTTACAAGTATGTTGTCTGTTTAGGAGTTATTGGATGTACCCACTGTAAAGCATTGCTTAAAATAAAACCACTGCCACACAATCTTGTTCTGAGTGTGCCAGCTACAGACTGGAGAGAGCTGCAGACAGGGGTAAAAAAAATAATTCTTAAAACAATTTTGCTTTTGTGGACCTCAAACTGACAAGAAAAGAAAAAAATTAAACTCATTTCCAAACTGAAATTTAAATAAAATGGAGCGTGTTTTTCAGGTAACTTTTGCAGGTTGCCACAGCTGATAATAGGCAAATGGAAACTGAGTATTTCAGCTGTTATTAAATCTGGCCCAAGGGGAACTGTTGAATTTCCTATCACATTTTGCCAGTCAGAAAGATTTGTATTTACATATGCCTTGTGGCTTAAAAGTGTCTGTTCTCTCTGGGCATCGCCCATGTATGATAACACGAATAGTCACGCTCTCCATCGTGATGTGAAATGTGTCAGAGGATATATCCTCATGTCACGATGACGCCTTGATCTTTATGCAGAAGCACACATGTAAGTGAATAAACTGAGAAACTGCTCCCAACTACGAAAAATGGAGTGAAATAACAGTATTGGAAAGCTGTCAGTGTTCTGTCTGCTGCTCTAAGGACTGGGTAGTGGCATCTGATGCAAAATAGCTCAGATTACCTCGTGCAGAGAAGTTTCTTTGATGCTTAGAGGAAAAGCTTAAGAAATATCAAGCTGTCTCGTTGTTCTCGTAAGAAGTGGAAGGGTCGAGGTGAGGAGCGAAGCGGCTGCAAAGGTAGCACAGGTCCTGAGAAAAGTTTGGGATGGATGTGGTTTTACTTCAAGCAGCTCATTTGGGCAAGCAGGTGGGTCAGGTACAGTCTGTTCAGAGCCAGTGTCTTTAGGGAGAGCTGATTGCAAAGGCATCAGATGTTCTTGTCCTGCTCAGGGATAGGGAGGGGGAGAAGCTTTGGAGCACATGGAACAACTTACCACCCATTTGACAAAAACCTGAAAGGTTTTTGTCAAATGGGTGGTAAGTTGTTCCATGTGCTCCAAAAGCTCTGGTTCCTCTCTGCAGTGATCCATTTTTGTTTTGTAGGGGCTGTGTGGAACCTTCTCTTTCAGTAAACACAGTGTCACTGTGTTTCAGGGTAAGCTGCTTGGGAGATAGTCAGAGCTGCGTGCTGGGATGAAAGAGGGGGCAAAACTGGTGGTCTCATCACTGGAGCTGAGTGACAGCATCTCTCTGTGGTTTGACGTGGTGCCACGGTGTATTTTAGGAACAGTTGGTAGATCTGAGATCAACAAACCATCTTCTGTCGTTGTAGTCTCTTCACCTGTGGAGGAGTTTTGGTTTTCTCCATTTAGGGCTCAATTAAGGATGAGTTTTAATTGATTCTGAAAACATCAGGCCTGCTACAGCTCAGAGCTCAGTGAGTATAGTTTGGTCCGAGTTTAGGACTAAGGAACCCATGGAAGCTCTCTTTGGTGTGCTGCTAGACCGTCTCCCTCGTCTGTCTATTCTGTTTGCTACACCTTTCTAGCTTTTTTCCCCCCCTACCATTGGCGTTCATTTTTCATTTCTAATCTATTTTCTACTCTCCCATGATTAGGTTCCTGCATCCGACTTTATAAAATTCTCTACACTGTCTTTTCCAATTTTATCGTCCCACCTTTCACATCTTAAATTTGCATTCCTTTTATTTACTTCATTATTCATTTTTCATTCATTTATTCAGTTTCCAGCTGTTTTTACTGCTACTCTCTACCTTTTGCATTGCAAAGAAAAATGTTAAATATTGTCTCACTCCATCACTCTGTCTCCCTCATCTCCTACAGCCTTTTTGTTGTTACCAGACTGTCTGTTTCTGTGAGCAGTTCATTTTCTCATCCTTTTCCTTATATCTTTGCAGAATGTTATTTGGCACTTAAGTGAATTCATTTTTATTTTCAGGACTGTGGGACTTCTGTGACTCCCTATTTCCTCTCCATTCTCTTTCCAACTCCATCATGCTTCTCTAACATTTTTTCTTTAAACTTTTCCTTTTTTTTTTTTTTTCTTTCCCCAACAAGTCAAGAAGCAAGAACAGGAATCCTTTTGCCAAGCTCTACAACCATTACAGTATGAGAAATCTGAGCAAGAAAACTTAGTGAATATAGAAGCACCAAAATTCACTTCTTTGCCCCCTTCCTAAATTAAAGGGAATCCCTACTAATGGTGAGGAAAGGAGACAGGGTACATGTATAATTTAAATATGCAGAAGTAGAAAAAAACCAGGTGTGTCAGTGCAAATAAGAGCAGTTCTTTACCAGTATTTCACAAGTTTCTTGGAAGAAATACTAGACACCATTTGCCCATAGAAAACAAATGTTTCTCCCCTGTTTCAGCAGAAAGCTGATGGAGGAAGTTTCTGGCTTTAAGCACTTTATAGCCATGTACTGACAAGGTTTGGTCACCAAACTATAAAAAAAATTTAGCATTTAATGACAATGTAATGATGCTTGTATCTACTCTTTGCTGGTAATCTGCTGTTGCCACTCAAGCACAGATCTAGTGACCTGATACAAACTGATATCCCTCAGCAAGGAAACAACTTGCTGTTAAATCTGAGAGTGACCACTGAAGTCTTCCCTTGCAGGTTCTCTTCTCAAAACTATTTGATGTGGAAATCTAAAATTAAAGGTTTCTTCAGCGTCCTGAAGAAGTGTGAGATCTTTGGTGAAGAAAATATATGCTAAGGCTGTATGTTCTGAGGGGCTGCTTGATGAGCTGGAATTCAATATTTCTTACCATTTCTGCCTCTGTTGTTATATCCAATAATTACTGACAACATGCAACACCTGCAAAAGCCTTGGTGCTGGTGAAGACTGGGAGGCTTCAAATCTTTAATAAAAATCAGGGGCTATGCTTCGAGGCTGCGCTGATTGCTGCTTGGTTTTTGTTTTGTTTTCCCTGAAAGGGCGCACCAACCACTGGTCGGCGATCATCGGCAGCTCCCACTCGAAGAACTACATCCTTTGGGAGTATGGAGGATATGCCAGTGAAGGGGTCAAACAAGTGGCAGAGTTGGGGTCTCCAGTAAAGATGGAAGAAGAGATTCGGCAGCAAGTAAGTGTATTTTAGTGCATACTTTAAAAAAAACCCCAAACCATACTAAACTAAACATCCTTCCATGGCCTGTAAATGATTTGTTGTTGTTAACAAGGTCTGAATGTAATTTTGCTGACTAATCCTCAGTTAAGCTGATAAGGAGATCTGCCTTTCTTTCTGGACTCATTCGTACTCTGGCAGGAGTTTTTGTCTGTGAAGGGACAAGCGAGTCACAGCATTCTGAGCTTAGAAAATCTACGTGCCCTAAATATCTGTGGGCATAAATCATAGGTAAAAAAGTAAACCTCATGTTTCCCAGAGGAATTGTGAAGACACAGATTTCGTTAAAGGAAAAGCTTGAAGACACAAGAAATAGCCCTTATTCCTTTTTGAAGTGGTGGGTTTTAGTTTATAGTGTATTGTAGTATTTTTATTTTCTGGTAAGCACCTTCTTTGCAGTTTTCTTCAGGTTCATTCAAGTTAGAAATGTTCTAACAAGAGACTGAGGTGATTTTGTTGATGAGCAGGAAGGCAATGCGCTAATGATACTTGATGAATTAGGATTATGGTTTAAAGGCAAAAGAGCCTTTAGAGTGTGTCATCTTATAGGGGATCGGTTCAGCGTAGCGGAAACCAATCTTTTGATAGTTTATAGATTACTTTAATTTTTTTACATCAAACAGCAGACAAATAAAATATAGCAGGACATGATGATGGCTGTTTTTAGGATGTCTTCCTTCCTTGCTAGAAACAGAGCTTAGTTATGAGACAGAAAGAATATAAATATTATTACATATAACACAGTTATACTCACAGTGTCACATAACTCTATATCCTCGTTCTTCTTCTGAGGTGCAAATTTTTAATGAAAAAAAGCAAAATAAACATTGTGGCAATGGAAAACAGTACTTTACACTTCAGTAATGAACAAAAATATGTCTTAAAATTATGAATGAGTATTTACTATTTAGATGCACTCAGCAGAATGTTTCATGTTTTGCTTCGTGATGAATCACCTCATTTTGTGTGTTATACAAACATCTGAATATATACATATAAATATAAATTATAAAATAGAATATATAAAAATGTACATGCTGTTTCCCTGTTGATCATTATTTATGCATCACAAGCATGCTTTCCTTAATAATCTGCTTTCCAAAGAAAATAATATGTTCCTTAATTTTGAACACTGGTAAGAAACCCTCTGTACCTACAGTCATTTTTGCTGCGTTTGTTTGGATCTTTCCTATATTTGACACTTCTGAGGGTAAAGTCAGCAAAACTAAAAGAAATGTTTAAAATTATATTGTTGATTGATCATTCTCTTTCTTGGTAAAGAGACAGCATTCTGAGAGCTCTGAGGTAACACTTAGCTCATATGCAGAGTTACATAGAGAGATGCAAAAAAAACCAAAAAAAAGATTCGATTATATTTATATAAACAGTGTAAAACAACCTCAGACTGTTTTGCTCATGAGAAAACTTGTATAGCAAAAGGTTTTATGCACTAAATTTCATTCCCACTTCTGTGATGCTTAAGTTTATATAATCATGGTAGAAGAACAGCTGGTGTGTTGGACATGAAACTCCCAAGGCCAAGAAAAATAAAATAAAACCAGCTTATAACTTAATATATAAAAGGGAGATGAAAGGAATGCGAACAGGAAAAAAAACAACTTCAGTGTGGAGGGAAATGTGATGATTGATATTATTTAACCCATAATGAGCCTTGGTGTACCTGGAAAGAGAAAATAGGCCTTGATCCTTTGCACTTTTACAGAGAAGTAGCTGCATTTTGTCCCAGCGATGTGATACAAACCCAGATGGTTTAAAATTACAGCAGAGTATTCCATATCCCATATGTAACTTATCATTTTCGCTGCTGACTTGGGAAATCAAGATTTTTCTCATAGTAGGCCTACATGAAATAAAGAAAATCAGATATAGCTACTGTCTTTGTACTTCAAAAGTTGATTTCTTTGCACAGTTTTCACAAATACTTTACAAATTGGGGTTTGGCACATCTCAGTTGTGACTATACAAAGATTAGGTGTGCTCCTAAAGCAACAGGGTGATGGGAAGAGTAGGGGATGAAGAGCAAGTAGAGGTGCAGCTGTGAAAGGTCACGCTGAGTACGGGGAGAAGAGGTGGTGAATTCGGAAAAGAATGAAAATCACGGCTCTCTCTGCTTTCCAAATCTGGGTGCCTTATCACCACATGCCACATATTTGTAAAAAGGGCATGTATTTATACACTGGATTCGAATCAGAGGTGATTGTGACTTTTAAAAGTACATCAAGTAGGTAACCGGCTGCAGTTTCAGGGGCTGCTGAAACTGGTCATGAAATTAATGAATGTCTCAGTTAATTTCAGCATCAGGATGTCTGATTGCATCAATCCTGCAGTAATTCCCTAGATTCTCCTCACTCAGACCATCCAAGCAATGACCCAGTGTTATAACTGGATATTCCCTGCAACAGTGCAGCGTTTCATCAAATGCCGTAACATTTTCATTGAGTTTATTTGACTTTTTAACATATGCTTAAGCTGCCCTAATATTCTTTAGAGCTTTTGAAGTAAAATTCTGCAACCAAGACAGCAGAGCTAGTAATGCCAGGAGCTGATTTGCTGACATTTAAATCAGGCTGCCTTTTTTTTTTTAATTGCACCTTGTGCCTTGTAGTATCCTTACCTACCTTGAAATTTGACAACAGTTTCCTTCCCCACATGTCCTAATCTACCTCAGGATCTATTTGTCTCTTTTCCATTTCTTATTTTACCTTTCTTTCCCCTATCTCTTGTCCTCCCAGCCTTTTGTTGTGGGTTGATGGGAGGATGCAATTCATTAAGGTCATGGTCCAAGCAGCTTTGATGTTTTTGAAAACACAAGAAGAGCAATGTCTGCGCTTTATTCTGATGACTGGACTCTAAGAGCTCTGTGCAGCATTTTCCCAGTGGGTAATGCCCTTCTCACAGGGCCAGACTTGGATTTGGGAATCTGCTGTGTGTCTGCTGTGCAGTTTCTAAGGTGAATATATAGACATATATAACCAGCATCTGTGTCACTGACATTATCCCAGGTTTTATTAAGGAGAAAAAAAATCTGTCTAGTGATTTTTGTGATTTATTACCAAAATAATACCATGTGTGAAACAAAACAAACAAACAAACAAAAAAGGTCTCTCCTTAAAGGAGCTCAGTTAAGAAGTGTCCTAACAATTATGTCATTAACTTAAGATTCTCAAGCGTGAACGTTTCTGCTCCCCATATGACAGGCTGCTGCATCATCATCAGCTTTTTTTCCTGACTAGGCACCTTTGAGTGCTCTGATTTGTGTTGTTACTGTAAAGAGCCTGTGTGGGATTTTTGCATGGATGACCCTGGGCACTGTAAACTTGCTTTGTAGTTTGTTTATCTGGGAGAACTTAAAGGAACTAATCAGCCTTTTTGTTAAAACTCTTCCTGGCGGCCTGAAAGCAAAGCCAGCAGCACATAAGAGTTTTACTAAAACAATCTGTCAAGTGCTTGATGGGTACAATAGGATAATTCATGCGTTATACTTCAGGGGCTATAAATGAGCAAACAAAGGATGGAAAAGGAATTATGTGAGGAAAAGAATGTGCACTGACCTCGCATATCTCTGAAATATATTCGCACTTTAGTCTTGTGTTTAGAAAGCCTGACATCTCCAGAACCTACTATTTGATAAACTTCCCTGTCAGAAACAAATACAGAATATGAAAGGAAAATCAAAGTGTGACTGGTGTGTTTAAACAAATGAACAAACAAGTACAGTTAAAACATGAATCAGAAGGAATAAAGTGTAATGCTAGATGCCATATCCCATGCAGATGAATCAAGATAAAAATAGAGACATTGATTTAAATATCTCGCACCTTAAGATACCTCATGTGGTTTTTCCTAATTATTTTAGAATAATATTTATTTTAGAATAAATATTAAGTCATTTTGCCACCTTTTTCTTTTTTTTTTTTTTTTAAAAAACCAGGATAAGTAGTATTCTGTGCCTTGCCACCTTCTCCAGGAAGTTCAGTTTGTACTCTCTGCTTGTTCCCTGTGGACACATAGGTGACATTCTTTCGGGTTTGGTTTAATGCTCTCTGAAATGTCAGTAAGTGGAATGACTTTTTAGATTGTCTTTAGTGGCCTGAGATAAAAGCTGACTGTGCCTCCAGACCTTTCAGAAGGGCAAGTTCTGCTTTCCAGGAAGATACTTGTGAAGTTTTTGGCACTTGATAATTTAAGTTACGTGTATGAATTGAAGATGAAACCTGAAATGTAAAAAAAAAAAACTCTATAGAACAAAATGTATAATTGCTATGATTTCATCCGAATATGATTCCATCCTGGCACTTATCTTCACAAAATAGTTCTGGTATGGATTTTTTTGAATATATCCACAAAATTAAAAAAAAAAAAAGAAGAGTAAAAATTATAGTAAATTGCTGGATTGATCCTGATTCATTGATTTAATTTTTTTTTTTTTAATGGGGAAATGTAATTTCAGTATTTCAGTTGAACAGTTACTGTTTTATTACCTGTTTGGTAACACAGTGCTGTGTTCTTCCACAGAAGAATGGGGTCATTACAGTTTTCTGACTGATAGTAAATCACCTGAATTACAAACAGGAACCTTCAGTATATTGGTCCCTTTTTGTTATAGTGCTGGGCAAATTATCGTGTTTACTGAAACAAGCTCAAAATTCTGCTTTTCGAATCACCTGTTATTGTGTGCTTAGAGAAGTTAAAATTAGCCAGCCAGCCAGGGAGGTTCAACCCAGTTGCACTTTGTGCTTGGCAGAACAGCTGAAAATTCTCCCTGAACTCTTAATCCTCAGAGCCCAAGAGCCCCTAACACCTAACAAAGTCTGACAATAGAGCTGCTTGGCACTTGAAAGTTGCAATCCCTGTCGAAATAATTTAGTCTGCGTTTGTTTAAAGCAGCTAAAAAAAATTAGTGGCAACATGTTTGGCTTGGCCTTCATTGCAGGAGG